AATAATAAAGCCTGAATGTTGTGATTACCAAATAAGGATTACTACACAATACTCAGGACCCATTATCTGCCAATCTCAATATAATTCTTACAGATCCATGTTTGAGATTGTAGACAGATTGGGAATCGTGAGATTTACTGGAGAAACAAGTGATGATGAACAAGAGAAACGAGGAGCAAGAGGAGGTAGATTTTGGGTTTCTGAGACATAACTTAATAACACGAAGATAGTAAACATACCAGAATACAGAGGGCTGTACAAAAGAAGCAAAAGACAAAAGAGGTACACAACACTACACACATCATCACCAACCATTGATAGCTTAAAGAACTCGTAGAACAGCTTCTCGTTTTTCCTACATCATTATTTGTTTTGCTGCTACAGTTCGAGATTAAGAGAGATGGGTCTTGTTTTTTTTATTTATAATTCTCTTTCATTCTCAATCTGCAAGAACTGCTGCTCCTTCCACCTGTTTCCACCACCATTGTTTTGTGTTATGAGCCATTTTTATATGTTGCTGAAAAAAATGTAAAACTAAATATGTTTTGTTTTTAAAGAATCAATAATCACCTTGAAGGTAGCTCCCCAAATTTCTTCCTCCTTAGCAGGAACGGCAGTGATCTTGTTCTTAGGGTTCTCAAAGCTCCTGAGCCCACCTAAAGCCGTCGAGTAATAACAGCCTGCAATCGCATGTACGCACAACCATTCAAAATCGCTCCAATCGAGCTTCTAATGCCCCAAAATCTTGAATTTACGAGTGAAAGAAGAAAAGAAAAGTCGAACCTTGCGGGAAAGACGCAAGAGACTTGCCACAAGCACCTTTTAGCAACTCAATATCATCAGCAAATGCCACATACCCATCAGCTGTTATTCCCCAGTACAATGGAACCTTACCAAATTGGTCCTGCAGCAAATCAAAACCGATTTCACCGCCAAATTCAATCTACCTTACGGTTCAAAAAAGGTTTTCTAATAGGGTTAAAAAGAACTTACAGTGGCTACAAACAGAGTGGAGGTTGATTTATCAAATACCACAAAGGCAAAATCACCGCTTAGGTGAGCCACGACGTGGTTAGCCGGGTAAGGAGCTCTGTCACGGAGAGTCTTATAAGCCTCGATGACCAAGAGGACCTCGTTCGCACTCTTTGCAAGCCCATATTGCTGCTTCAAGCTTCCTAAGTTGTCAAGAGAGCCTTCGAACAAGCTGAATATCTCATCCTTAGCCCCGAAAGACCTGCATCAATTCAAACAAAACATCATCTTAATTGAACAAGACAAGCCTATACATATATAAACAAAGTCCAAAGTTACTTTGATATCTCTAGAGGAACAATATAAAGGTTTTAAAACTTTATATCCAATTACAGAAAAGTAGTGCAATTATGA